TTTTTTTCCCAGGAAGCCCGTGGAAATGTACGGTACGCGTTAACCGGTAGAAAAGCCTTAATATGCGATGCAATTAGTCTAGAATTTTAGAACCTTCTAAATGTACACTGAAAAAAAATTGCTACGTTCAAGTAAATATTTACCACAGAGTATTGTAGTAGTTTATTTTATTTGGATTAAGTAAATTTTACTAGAATATAGCACTTTCTTTCTTCTAGTGTGCTATACTCAAGTAATATTTACTTAATCCAGATAAAATAAATTACTACAATGCTCCTTGGTAAATATTTACTTGAACATAGCAATTTTTTTCAGACTACGTAAAAGAAAATTAATATCAATTCAAGACTCATATTCTCATACGTATAAGCAAAAATATACAATTTTATATGAAGAAGACTTATTTTTATACGAGGAAATTTTATATAGTTTCGTTAAAAATATATTCCTGTTAGTATATTCAAGAATAATTTTCATAAATTGGAAAGAAAAAATATTAGATAGAAGGAACAATATTTTCAAACTAAGAATTATATTAGTTTCAAAATATCGTTCCTTTTATCCACTATATGTTTTTCTCTCAGTTCGTAAATTATTTCCGAATAACAAGAATATAATTTTAGTGGGACTAAATATACAAATAGAAATAAAATTATACAAAATTTCTTCATGTAAGAGCAAGTTTTATTTTCATATAAATTTATATATTCTTGCTTATATATGAGAATGTAAATTTTGGTACTATTTTTTTTCTACATACGCACCATTCACTTTATTATTTATAAATATAAGAGAGAAGAAGAAGCAATGAATGAAAAAGTAATAATCTGTCGCCGTGATAACGTCGAGAAACGAATTTGCACGGTTGTAAAATATTAGTGGTTTGATTGCATAGCGTGCTAATTACACTGCAAGTTATTCTGCCGATTAGTGAGCATGTGACATGACACGGCGAATACAAACAGCGTGACTTGCCTTTTCTTAGCCGACTGTGTATATTTAGGGTACGTTTAATGACGCTTGAAAATCCCGACTTATCTGCCGGACTCGACGGACCGGCAGTTAAACGTGAAATGAGAGAAACGCTGCGGAAAAGCTACTTCAGCTTTCGATATAGCCCGCGGAGATCTTTTGTAAATAAATGGGCGCATTCATCTGGCCCTTCGTCGGTGCGGCACGTAGTAGGGCTCACCGATTTGCGCCTTCCGTCATTGCCGATTGGTCTTATTTGGAACGACGGAAATACAAATATTTTATCTTAATTATACTACGACACACTGTATTGCAGACAGACATTTCTCTCCATTTCACTTCCCCTCTCAAATTTTATTTTTGTTTTTATATGTAATTAATTTTTTCACATTGATACAAATACAATTTTTTCATATTCCTACATTATAAAAATATGAAAAAATTATTTCTTACAAAAGTAAGCAAGATTAGATAGGTTGTATTTCTGATAAAAATAATGATAATAAAATGATCTAAAACGTATTTTACAACTTGAAGTTTCTAGGTTTAAGGAATATTTTTGAATGTAAGTTCTACTTATTTTTTATAATGTTATATGACTATAAGTCAAAACTTGTCAAATGTAAAAAATCTTTAATAAAATTTATCGAGGTGTGCAACATAAACAAAAAATCATTAACAAATAGCATTTATACTATATTTAAAAGCACGGACTTTTCCTTCTAATTTTCATCGCCACAGATTGCAATGCGATTTCTTTTTACCGAGTTATTCAATGCAAAAATTGCACTTTCACTTTCATCGCTCGCAGTTAGTGAATAAATCGGCGTATGACGTTTGCTAAGCAATCAATAAAAAGCTTAAACTTCCCTCTTCGAGATGCATTTGTCGTATTTTTTATAAAAATTAATTTTCAATATAATACTATAACTGAAAAATGAAGTTAAGAGTTGACCAGTAATCATTTTTCATTTAACTCGATATATCTTTGCTATAAACAATGACAATATTGTAAATTTAATATTTCTGAAAATTTGAGACTTCAAGCTTTAAAATGCTTCCTGAACCATTTCGCTATCATTATTTTTGTCAAAGTTGACGATTTGTTGAATTTAGTTATGTCCAATATAAGAGAAAAATATGTCTCACCAGTTTTCAAGTCATACTACTCAAGAAATAGGAGCGACGACTGTCATTAAGTCGTACTATATCTCGATTTTTTTTTTATTTAGTATAAATAGTGTACAAAAGGAGTACGCGTGGTACTAAAGAATGTCTAGGGACAAAGCTTATTCGACTCAAATATTAAAAATGTTACTTAATATTAAAGCATACTACGCTTCAAATCGTCGGTAAAATATAGTGGCGGCTCGTAGCGGAAGTTAGAGAACTAAAAGTTGACGCCAACACCCACGACCCAAGACACGAACCTTCTTCCACCAACATTATCGACTACTTAGCCGAGACTCAAACCCACTTGGCAAGCCGCGAGATCTAACTTTAATCATTAATTTCTCAAAAACTAAGAGGAATTTGACGAAACACTCGAACACGGGCCAAATATTTTTCAATGTAGTTTTACCGTGTTTAATTGCGTGGCGATCGGTCAGCATATTATCGTTTTTGAAAATGTACATACCGATCGCCACGCAAATATAGTAAAATTACATTGAAAAATATTTGAGCCATGTTCAAGTGTTTCGCCTAAATGATTTTAATTTTCGAAAAATTAATTATTAAAATTAAGCTTCGCAACTCGTTAAAGAAGTTTACACCACGGCTAAGTGATCGATAAATGTTGGTCGGAAAAGACTCGCGAGGTCTTGGATGGTAAGTCGACTTTTAGTTCCAAAGCTTCCGCTACGAGTCGCCACCATATCTCCGAAAAAACTGAGATAGTATAAGATCTAAGATCGTTTCTGTGATTTCCGCGTGATTTTTGTTTTCTTGTAGATAGCCTATGAGTTAGGTTAAGGTTCGGCTGCTTCCGTTAACCATATTGTTTTTATGAAGTCACAGGCGAGAAATGATTTGTAGTAAAAATAGTTTCTGCAATATATAATTTTATTTTTTAATTTTTCCTGAAAAACATAATGATTTCGTAATCTTGAAACCTGTAAAATGTGCTGAAAACTGAGATATCTGGCCGATGTCACGTAGAATCTCAGCTATCACGACCGCCCGAGTATGACAGAAAAATGACTCATTTCAAGAGTTATTTTGTGATCCTACATAACATATCGACCAGATATCTCAGTTTTCTGCACATTTTATAGGTTTCAAGATTACGAAAACATTGTATTTTAGGGAAAATTAAAAAATAAGTGTGCAATACTTGCAAGAAACTTATTGCATTTCTCGCTTATGACGTCACAAAACCAATATAGCTAACGGAGGGAGCTGAGCCTTAGGATGAAATTACACGGTGTGTAATAGAACTGCGGAATAGAGAGTGCGTCATAGAAGCAACCAATCAGCATGCAAAATTTGCGTGATAGAAAAGAGCGAAGTAGCGCTGATTGGTTGCTCCTATGACGCACTGTTTATTCCACAGTTCTATTACGCACCGTGTAATTTCACCCTTAAATACGATGACTCCGATACAACGCTCGTATTCTGAACTCTCTTTTATCGATAGTGCCTGAAATGTGGCTTGTTAGCCGATCTGGTAGTTCCGAAGCATTTTTAGAGACACTTTTATAAAATTATAATATTGTAAAAGAGAATTTAGCCTAGAGGTCAATATATTTAATTTACTTTCTGCGCTTTCAAATAACATTGTAAATAATTGGATCGAATAGGCTTTGTCCTTAGACTCCATATTCTTTTTGTATATTCTTTATATTAAATAAAAAAATGAGGCGGTACGATTCAACAGTGGGTCAGACGTAACTTCTATTTCGTGAGTACATTCAACAAGTAATATGACTCAAAAGCCGGCTAATCGGCCTATTTCTTATATTGAAACATAGACCAAATTCAACGAGCTACAACTTTGGCAAAAATGACGATAGTGAAAACAGCAGTTCTGGAAGCATTTTAAAGCTTGAAGTCTCTACTTTTCAAGCATATTAAATTCATAACGTTACTACCGTTCCGTCGCTAAAATATATTGACTTAGACGAAAAATAGCGGCTATTTAACACGTTGTCTGCCAGCTACGAGATATCTCGTAGGTTGTTTACTTGCCCAGGACGCCAACTACGAGTTATCTCGTCGCATCATTACTTGATTAAATCAATCAAATCAAATTGGCTTCTTAGACCAGAATCGTGAAAAGTTCCGTGGCAGTCAACGTGTTAATGTTCAACCTTATATTTCAGTTAAGGTTCCGCACTGAAAATGTATGTTTATTATAAATGTGATACATACATCTTGAAGAAAGTTCAAGTTTTTCATTCATGATTCGTTCGCTCACTGTGAGCGATGAAAGTGAAAGTGCCATTTTGCTTCAGCATTGAATAACTCGGTAGGAAAAAATGGCATAACGATCCGTGAGGATGCAAATTGAAGGGGAAAGTTTCCGCTTTCAAACGGCATATAAAAGCCATTTGTTTCAGACCTCTCGTATCTTAGGTAGCGACTCTTGAATAAAACACCATCCATTATATTGTGAGTTTATTAATGATTATTATTTTATTATACTTAATATATTTATATATAACATATATATGTATGTGTTTGTGTATGTGTGCGCATATAAGTATACACACGCGCCTGTCCGTATCGTATACACGCAACATACACGCACCATACACCAACGCACACACACACATATACACATCACGCCTGCACGCACGTATACCCGCACGCATACATGCTCATCTCATAGGGAAATTCGCTGGATATACGTGTGTGTGTGTGTGTGTGTGTGTGTGTATACACACAAGACATCCTGTACGTCACGATACAACCGCCGCAATTACGTTTAAATAAGATACATGCAAAGAGTGTATATTAGAGCTGAAACGAGATAAGCCGTACCATCGATGAAGATTTAATCGTCATATGCAGTCGTCCCTGTGTTCTTTTTTTGTCCCTCTCCTTTCCACTTCTTGTTCTTTCTCTTTGCTTCTTTTTCTTTTTTACATTTTTCTCAACAAATCCATCCGATCACCTTCCTCCCGCTCTTTTCGTCCTTCGACCGCCTGCGACGTTATCACCGGCGCACATCGTCGGTTGTACCGTCTTTCACAGAACATCCTGCGGAGCGAATATACGCATATATGCCACGTGCGTATGCGACTGTGTATGTATATGTACGCTGTGTATACCGGTCGAGTTAGCCCTCGACGGGATTAACCCGGCTCCGTTTCATGATTTATACGAAAAGCATGATAACACATGTATACTGCACTTGTACGGAACATCTATCTTGTCTGCAATACGAATTCTAAGAGATGTCGATCTAACATTGGCGGGTAAACGTTTCCCTCACGAGGAAACAGTCGGATCAAACTCCGAAGGCGGTAGAGAGGCCGAGAGAGCAACGCAAATAATTATTATAACCCGGCGCGCTGTGAACGATTTTTTTTCCTTCCGTCCGTTGTCTGCAGAATTTCATCCGACCTCGTCGATCTCTCGTCGTCAACGGGGACTCGCTTCACGTTTCTCTCACTTTCCTTCAGTACTTATGTTTCTGGTAGTGTACTGTTAAAACACACACACGCATACACACATACATGCACATTCACACACGCCACCGTTCATTCGTTCTCTCCTGTGTGCGATATTCCTAAAGCTTTTTTTTTTACGATATATTTCATCTGTTTCGCAGTCGAAGCTTCCCTCGAACTATAAGTATCGATTATCCAACGGGTTAGTCGCAACGTCTAAAAGCAGGGCTGGCGTCGTGAAAAATTTTTATATTATTTTCTTCTTCTTCTTCTCTCCTTTTTTTATGCTTTCTCGAAGAGAACCGACCGACAGAGGAGTACCGCCGCCGGCGCGCGCTGCCTGCGCACGATGAACGCAAGTTCGAAGAACTATTTTATCGGTTTTATCGAAGAAACGAAAATGCCAATTTTCACATCACATGCTTTTCCCCCACAGTTTTTGAAACTCCGCTCGGATCTCACTGGATCCCACAAACCTCGTTGGAAATCCCGAGGACTTCGGATAAACGATAAAACGCCCAAAACACGAACCGATGTCTCTCTCTCTCTCTCTCTCTCTCTCTCTCTCTCTCTCTCTCTTATACATATCAAGCGCAAGAATTCACACGTATATAGTGGCTGCTCCTTACGAATAACTTAAAAGCGTTGCTCAAATTCGGACTCGACAATTTTGACTAGCATAGAACGTTAGAACGCCAAAATGAACGTACAGCCGTAACATGCTGTTCCTCGTATGAACAATAATCGAACGCGAATCTCAACGAAGCCAGCTCGGTCGAATTCACAGCGCACAAATAAAAAAGAAAAGAAAAATGCGTCGTTAAAATTTGTACACATACGTGCGAAAAAAGGATCGATAGAAATTTACATTATTATCCAGAGCGCAGCTCCCCCTAAGCAATTAACATAAATAAATTTCGTAGTCATATCGTTAGGAATACATTCTAAATATAAATATAAATTCGATATACGCGTATATATCTTTCAGAAAAATCGACTTGTTCTTTCTTTTTTTGCTTTTCTTTTCGGCTTGTCAGCGTCTGAAATGTATATAGTACAAAACGGAATAAATTTTTTAGACAACAAGCGAATTTGCCAACGGAAAATATAAATTTAAGATATTGATATCTAACTGACTAAAAAATATAACATCTTTCTAGAGCAATTCAGTTACTTGCTGAATTCGTTCTTTCTTTTTCTTCTTTTCTCTCTCTCTCTCTCTCTCTCTCTCTCTCTGTCTTTTATATCCGGCCGTTTCAACGTCATAAAAACGCGGTGTGTACACACGAAGAACAGATTTTGCGGGCTCCCCACGGGATTAGCCACGGAAAATAAATATACATATCTCGCGCGCCTATGCTAAAAAGAATTTCACATCATTCCGATAAAATACGATATTAATGCAGTACAACCAGAACTATAGGTACCAACGCCGCCTATTCTCTCTTTTCTTCATCCTCTCCTCCTCAAACGATTTAAAATAGACCGCCGAGACCGTCACGCTAGGAAGATTGGCGAACGGCGCGGCGAGTGCCGTCAGGCTTGGAGCGAAGAAACGAATTTTTCCCTTTTTTTCTTTATATATATATACACAGTTCCTAGCCGGCGCCCTACTTAGACCAGCCGAGCCAATGTCAGAACGATCGATATTACATACCCTGCCTACTCGTTGCTATCGTAGGGAACACAAGAGGCGTCAGCCCATGTCGCGTCGTCGCGCCGATGAGCGCCTGCACCGGGACAACGTATTACGTTAGTTCTGCCTGAGCTTGGCGAAGTCGATCTCGGCGTAGATGAGGCCCTCCTGCGCGGACGCCGGCGACACGGGCGCAGGGTTACTAACCTCCGGCAGATCGAGACTAGCGTAGTGCAGAATCGTCGCGCCCGGCTGGAGCTTCTCGTAGCCTTCGCTGTCCAACGGGCTCGGCGTAGGCGTGGGCGTCGGCGTGGGCGTGGGGGTCTCGTCGATGAACTTCGGCGAGGATGGCTTCGGCGGCGGCTGCTGCTGCACAGACGACGGCTTGAAACCCGTCAAGGTGGGGCTGGTATTCGGCGAGGCCGTGACGAGACGCGGTTTCGACACCGTCAGGTCCGAGAGTCTCTTCGTCAATGGGCCGACCGCGTGATGGTGGTGGTGTTCCTGCGAGTTCGATGTGATCCGTGGGGCGTTCTTGCCTACGGGACTAGGTGGTTTCTCGTGGTTTGCCGTCTCCGTCGACGGCACGGGGCACGGCGCGCATACGAGCTTCTTCGCGGGCTCCATCACCGCGTAATCGTTGCTCGGCGAGACGTCCGGCGTCTCCTCGCTCGGCTTCTGCTCCGTAAACGGCTTCACCGGCGACTGCGGGCTGTTCAGCGAGAAGGGGAAGATCGTGGCTGAGGAGCCCGTGGGTGTCGCCCGCGGCGGCGAGGCGGGCGTGCTCGCCAGGCTCTCGGACGTCGGGCTGCCGTTCAACGGCAGGAAACTCGGGGTCTTCGACGGCTTGCTGCCCGCCTGGATCGCGATAGGCTGCGACCGGGACTTCTCCTTGCGACTACCGCCGCCCCCCACTCGCGTCGCCTTGCGGTTGTTCCGATTGTTCGCGCCTATGCTCATGTTCATGTAGTCCTGGTCCAGACTCGGACGCGTCTTGAATGACATCTCGACGTATCCCTCCGGGGGACGCCTCGGTTGCGGCAGGTCTACCGGCGCCGTTCTTGTGCTGCCTGAAAAAACGATCGTATTTGTCGTCACGATGGTTGTTACAGACGTCGAACGTCAGAGTGGTCGCTGGCTCACCTGGTGGCCCGTTCGTGTGATAGATGTCCTCCTGCATAGGTGACGACAGCTGCTTCGGGCTCGCCTCCGAATGCGACCAATCCTCCGCTGTGCCATCCATCCTCATGTAAGGTCCCTCCGCCTCCTCCACCGGCTTTAAAGTTGTAATTACAGGTTTATGGGCGAAAGCTAACGATGATATATGCATGTGGCTATGATTGTGGTTGGCAGTGATTGTATTGTTATTGTTATTGCGATTGATCTGCAAAAAGAGGCACGGTATTAGTTTCTCCCCGCGTGCCGATCGTCGGGAAACGCTTAATTGAACGAAGCGAGTGTCGAGGTACCTTATTCATGCCACTCATATCGACGTATGGGGCAGTAGTCGATACGGGGGGCTGTCCGGGCGACATGTCGACGTAGGAACTAGTGTCGGTGGCAGTAGAGTACGATTGCGACTGCGGCTGAGGATAGGATGACGGTGGCGAGGAGAGAGCGATAGGGAGATTGGGCCTCGTGAAGTCCAATTCCATGAGATCCTCCATGCGATCGGACGCGCCGGAGCAACCCGAGTTGTGGCCCCAGGAGCTCGACAGCAACGGCGCGGAGCTCGACTTGTTCGAGCCGTCCGAGCCGGCCGGTAACGGCGCGGTGACCACGTTGGCTAGCCTGCCGATCTCGGGCCTCTTGGAGCGGCTGCCTACGGAAAACGCTCGTACTCTACTGGCGTCCTGCGGGGTGATGTCCAACCTGGTATAAACGGCGTAACGAAAACAATCTTGTTAGATCCATCGGTGCTTGGAAGGACGAGGGAAGAATATAATTCGCGTTCAGCTAATTAAAGCAGCTTAGAGAGTGGTATTCATAGTCGGATCTTATATTTAAGATCGTCTTAAGTTCATCTTCAGATACTTTACGACTCATTTTCATCGGTTACAAAGCAACTGCGGACGACCATAAGACGATAAGTATAAGATCTGACTATGAATATCGGCTCTAGTAAACGCTTTGTTTATTATTGCCTCTGATACATTCCCTTGTATTTATATGTGGAAGATCTAAAAGAATACTCCAATCGCAGACAATAATCACAAAGCGCTCACTAATAGCGAATTCGATCTCACTCACACTATACCGGATTAGCGAATATTGAAGATCGCTACACATAAAGTGTATAAATATAATGGCGTAACATATGCAAGCAATTCGAAAGTGAAATAATTGATTACTTCTGCTGAATAACGTGGCAATATCATTATTAGGAGTTTAATCGTTGTTAAACAACTGCTTCACATATAACAGCTTTCAGTATGCACTAACCTGTTGTAGCGCAAGTGATCGAGTTCACTATAAGCTGTTTACCCCGTGTTTAAACGCGAGCAATATTCACGAGAGCCGTACAGATCCGAAGGATTCAACTCCTGCGAAAGTGCCAGGACGTACCTATTTTTGCGATGCCTGTTCGCAGGCTCTGGTCTAGACCCGACCGAGTAAGCTCGGGTCGGTCTGGCTTGCAGATCTTCTCCGGGAGCCAGGAAACTAGTCACTTTGTCCAAGTGGTACTCGGAGAAGCGGAGATCGGTGCTGGGCGTGCCAGAAGTGACAGAACAGCTGCTGCCATCGTGCTGCGACATGTCGTCCGGGAAGTGACCGTTGTGACTATTTACAGGATCCATGTCGACGTAACCGTCATCCCCAACCGGCGCCATCGGCACGTAACCGTCCGGCAACACATTGCTCTCCTCCACGAGGGACGACGCGCGGGAATGCGAATGCACCGTCGTCGCGGGGCTCATGGGTATGTACGCGCCACCGCGACCTGGGCTCGAGCCACAGGGGCTGTACATTTCACCGTAGGAACTCTACGGACAGAGAGCTGAATTACTATCGATTCTCGTCGTACAATTGACAGATTAACACTTAGACTGCTACGCCACGGATAGTTTTAAAAACTAGGAATACTTTTGGGAAGTAGGAATCATTTTATGAACTATTTATAAAGAGATACGGACTAAAAACAATAAAATATCATGTTTACAGAATATATACTAATGTAGAAAACAAAATTAATATTATATATTTATTATGAAATGATCAAACTTACGCATAGATATTTTTCATGATATTTTGGAAAGCAATCCATGCATAATTGTGGTCGTTATTATATCAGTTTAAAATAAAAACACAGGATCGATTCAACATAAAAATAAATAAATAAATATATATATATCCTGTGAGTTTGTCGGTGAAGTTCACGAACACTCTGTATACAGTCAGAATAAGACAAATGTATTCATAAGAGTACGTATTCAATAAAAGTATGATATCTACTCTTCTGTTCGTGTTTTACATCTTATTTTATCGAATATTTTACAAATATTCTTGCGAAACTGATTTAATAACAACCACAATTATGTATGGATTGCTTTCCAAAATATCATGAAAAATATCTGTGCATAAGTTTGATCATTTCATAATAAGTATATAATATTAATTTTATATTAATTATAATTATATATATTTTATATTAATTTTATATTAATAATAATTATATATATAAAAGTAAAAAAATTAATAAATATGTGTCCTGTAACATTTAGTTTCTGAGATATAGCTGCCGCAATCTCAGTTTCCAAAAAAATATATTTTATTCATTAAATCGTCTTTTACAAATAAATAACTGGACACATAGTGTTATAAAAAAATTGTCTAAAATGTCTGCCTCCCTTATCAATTCAAACAATTGATATCTGTAAAGATGCGCGTACACGTTCGAATATTGCTTTATAATTTCTAAACTATTGCATCGTGACAAAGAACGATTTTTCGGCTGATGTTCAGAAGTATCAAAATTGATGGGCCTTCAAAAACAAGTAAAAAAAAATATATATTAATATTCTTAACCCGCTTATTGCGACACATTTTCTTTCGTCGTTGTCATCTTCAGCAAAGACAAAAAAAATGCGAACATACGTTTGCTAAGACTTTTTGCTATTTTTCAACACAGAACCTGTCCTATAAGTTTGTCGGTCGACTTCAGACACATCCTGTATACAATTTCGCGCGTTTAGGAGTGGGATTTATGTCCGAAACTAGCTGGACAACCTAAGTGTTAAAGATTGCAACACTCTTTCCGATGAATCTCGCAACGCATATCGTATCCAATAACAAAATATATATTTCTTGAAAGTCAAAAAAAAAGAAATTCTCCTATTGGATACGGAATGCATTGCGAACCTCATTGAAAAGTGTTGCAACAACCTTTAATGTGCTGATCATATATATATATGTGTGTGTGTGTGTGTGTGTGTGTGTGTGTGTGTGTGTGTGTGTGTGTGTGTGTGTGTGTGTGTGTGTGCGCGTGCGTGCGTGCGTGCGTGCGTGCGTACACCTCGTAAAGTGATTGCAAGATAATCACAAAGTAGCAGAAAATAATACTGATATAAAACAAAACAATAATCATAAAGTAAATTAAGGCTCGGCAGAAGCTAAAAGTCGAAACACCATTAGGTTACACTTGACGTTTATCTGTGTTTTTCTATATTTTAACTCGGAGAAATCCTATTTGCTCATCACACCATTTTTGAAATCTTTTCCGCGAACATATCTAGAATTGACCTTAACCGGATTCTGTAATTCGGTCCTCAAACATTTATAACAAATGAAAATACGAATTCGTCCTGCACTCCAAGCACCACGAGTGCAGGACGACCTGGAACATTTATAGTTTCATTTATTATAAATTTTTAGGACCTTAATTGTAAAAAATCCTCTGTAGTTAAGTGCATTCGCAAGAAAGACTCCAAAAATAGTTTGATAAGCAAATATAATTTCTCCAAGATAAAATATAGAAAAGCGCAGATAGGACGGAAAGTGTAGCCTAGTGGCGGTTTAACAAAATCGATATTTGATTCCTGCCGGGTCTTCCGGCTGAGAACGTGAGTGAACGAAGACGGTGAAAACAAAAAATCCGTCTTTGTTTACCGATATCGCTCCATAAAAAGATGTGTATATAATGACCGAACAAAAAGTAAATGATTAAAATGTCGAAATAAAAAGCGAATGCAAACTTTCGCTGTTGCAAAATGTATAGTCGATCACAGGATAATTGCGGAAGTTTTTTTTCTTACATACTCGAGACACGCAAAAAATATGACGCAGCGAACCTATGATTTACGAACATACGCAGTAGATAGTCAGGCAGCTGTCAAAATTACATATACACATGTAATTTTATACATATATACACATATCTAATTTTGACAGCTGTCTGACTATCTACTGCGTATGTTCGTAAATCATAGGCTCGCTGCGTCGTATTTTTTGTGTATTACGAAACATATAAAAACCAAAAAAAAAAAACTGTTGCAACTGTCCTGTATGACTGATTGTATGTCGCTGCGAGCAGAACATTTTGGCTTGTTCACCAGATGGTTTATCAAGGAAAGTTCATGTGCGTTTAGAGACGAATACGCACATTCATATTACACGTTCGTTCGCTCAGTGTATACTCAGCTTAAAACGTGGTCTACAACGGGCAGTAAGAATAAAAAATTAACCAATCATAGTCGATTATTTTCCTTACATTCAAATACAATCGGTCGATTCCTTACTCTTACTTCTTATGAACATATTTCTACCGCCTATTGTAGACTACGCTTAACGGAACTCGTTTCTAGTCTGATATATCCGAACGTGAAACGCCAACGCGAGTTCACGCGGTGCCGGTGCGCTGCTTACCTGAGAGGGCGAGTGAGACTTGAAGTTTGGCGAGTATTTGAGATGCGAATGCGACGTGGACCAGGGCGCGTAGTCGTCGCCCTTCTTGTCCAAGATCACCGGCTGCTCGTCCGGGGTTAAGGAGTGTCCGTATCGCGAGACGGTGCCTTCCTCGGACATGTTCTCGCCGCAGTCGTCCATCGAAGGCGACGAGCCAGCCGAGTCGGACGAGCAGACGTCGGACGCCGGGCTGATGGGCATCGACGCGATCGGCGGCGAGTAGGAGAGGCCGCGTCCGCACATGGAGTGCGGTCGTGGCACGTGCGACATGATATGGGCTCCTCTCGGGTGGTTCAGCACTATCGCAGTCGGTTGTCCCTCGCTGGTGGTGCGTGCCCTCGACGGCAAGCTGTCGCACCGGTCGCGCACAGTCGTACCTGCAAACGTACTCTCGTCAGAGATCTCGCCGTGCGCCGTTCTCGCTCGCTCTTAACGCGTTAACAGTGTGAAAAAGCCAGTTCCATCCTCCCAGCGTAGCAGCAACGCGGTTGTTAGTTTTTTTTTTTCGCAATGTCGCATATATTACATGTATATGATGTCCAGATATACAGATCAATCTCCTTCTCTCTCACACACACACACACACACGCGCGCGCGCACGCACGCACACTCTTTCTCTCTCTCTCTCGCGGCAGAGGTTGTTTACTGTTAAAGGTATGTATACTCTTGAGTATCAAGCAAAACGGAAAAAAGAGACGGTAAATCGCGGCGAATCGCTCGAGCGCTCCCGCCCGGGTTATTATGTAACTGATAAGTAAAGAAGCGGAGGATCGTAGAGAGAAACCAAGTTTTTTGCCAAAGGTTGTTACTAAACCATCCAAAGATACGCAGCATTCAGTAAACGTATTTTACATCCGATCGGAGACAGAAACGAAATGTACAAACCGAAGCAGCGGAGAGCTCATATCTCATAATAATAATAATAATAATAATAATAATATATCACATGCATTTTGAACAGCATGCCAGAGCGGAACTTTACAGTCGTGAAATCGAAATAAACATAACACTGATCGATCGGCACTTCACACACCGAAAAGTTACCAGGGCGGAAGGGAGAGGGGAGGGAGGGGGGAAATAGAGGATCGTATGCGAAACACAAAGGGGGCGGTAGTGACAAAGCGAAACTGCAGAAACACTGAAGAGTAAAACAGAAATTCGGCTCGATTAAACAAATATATACGTATATATATATATATATATATAGATAGATAGATAGATAGATAGATAGATAGATAGATAGATATGACGGAACAAAATACATACACCGTAAAACTGATCTTTTAGATGATTGCGTTTGATTGATAATAACGGCAGCTAAGGGCAGCGACAGGGTTCTCTGATGGGATATTGTCGCGGTTGTAGTGGTCGCGGTGACGGTCGCGGTGATGGTGATGGTGGTGGTTGTAGTGGTGGTAGTGGTAGTGGTAGTGGTGGTGGTGGTGGTGGTGGTGGCATTGGTGGCGGTGGTGGTCATGGATGTATTTGTTGCTGTTGTGACATGAGTGGATTGGGAATTATTGACGGAATGAGGATGACTGGCTACCGAATGACGACGTCTAGCGGTACCGGCACAGTTGGCATTAGTCGTGGCAATCCCAGCAGTCCAAGCCCCGGTACCAGCAACGGCTGCAAACCACACACCTCTCACTATCGCACAACTGTCTCGTCTCTTTTACGTGCATCTTACGCGCGCCGGATTTCGATACGGATACAGCACGAACAATGAACCATGTACTGCCGTTAAAACGCACGACCGCTCTCTCTCGCGAATGTTTTCCGGTGTGATGGGTTACTGATCGGAAGGAATAGACGCTGCTGTCTTGAGAAAAAAATAAATAAATAAATAAAAACAGGCTATGACCGTTTCCCTCGATAATGTGATTCGGTCTCTCGGTCGATAATTGTAGCATGATACAAAGGAATCGCAATGGAAACAACATCGAAGTGACAATGAAGCTTTCCAACTCAATCCTTCCCTTACGTACGTTTCAAACAAGATGCTATATGCATAAATATGTACACTGTATATGTATATATATAATATCTGACACATCGGACAACTTACAGACTCCAGACGACTTACTGACTGGATCGGTATTAATCATGCTATTTACACCACGAAGCTAATAGTCGGGGGAACGATGCACAATCACTTCATGTACGTCGGCCAGACTTCTCTTTCTGTTTCAAGTTGATCATTGCACTCGTACAAAGAAACCTTCCGGTCTCCCTGTGCTACTCACATCCATTCGGCGCAACGAAAAACTTAAATGCCGAAACCCAAAAAAAAAATAAAGTGAGAATATACTGCTTTCCTTCGATCTGTCGACAACTGTAACACGTATACCGATTATGCGTAATGTAAGCAATACAGTGTTAACATTACACTCAACGTGTACAACGATACAGAGGTATAGGAAATCAAATATCCCAAAAATCCGTGCAAGAGAACAATGCAATGACCAAATGTTCCGGGTAACGTCCAACGTCTCTCTCGTGAAAATGAAAATGTGTCGAAGGGAGATGTAAAAACGATACGTTCACAGCGCCGTTTACGTAACGCGTTCTTCTTGCCGATCGAGATCGCTATGAGAAACGCGAAAAGAGGAAAGCAGATAGCTACTATAACAGAGAACAGACCCGTGACTGTATTGGTGGAGGAGGTACTCCGAGATTGACTACTCTGTGTAGGAGCACAGGAAGTAGCAATCTGCTCCTGCAACGGTTCCACTTGCTCCTTGTGTGTCTTCTGTTCCTCTGTAAACCCCGTAAACCCACTTGTGTTACTCTAAGAGCAGAGGTTCTTACGTGTACGCGTATACACACGACGATTCAGTGGACGATCTCTGTGGTACTCTTAAAGTTATACATATAAACTTAATATGTGTGTGTGCAGTTATGGCCCGGTGTAAAGAGGAACGGACGGTCGCTCGCACCCGATGCTTTCAAGCTTTCGGACGTGAAAAAGGAATTCGTTACAAAGAACGACTTTAAGTACCACAGTCGACACGAGCAAAACGCAGTGACAGCTCGGATGAACACAGAGTATTAACTGTAAACACGTAGCGAGTTGCTAATAGCGAGAATCCAGTTACATACGTGAAAAACACATTTCGATAAGTGGACAGTACGTGACACTCGGGTAATTACCCATAACTTACATCCTGGCTCGGGTAAATAATACATATAAAAAAAAAGAAAAAAAAAGAAAGAAAATGGGCCCATATAAGGCTTGCAGCTTACCTAGAGGCGAAAAGCTATGAAGCTTTTGGCCCGTATGCCGTCGTTGGAGGACGGATATCGGCTTGCTGGCTTCATTGGCTGAGGAGCTACGCATTCTCTGACGAGGTCCTACCTCGTCCTTGTTACTCTTCGAATTCCTCATCGCGGTCGTTATTACATCGTACATATTGAGCGCGATATTGTTGTCCTCAACCGCCATCCAGAACTCACCGTCGCCAGTCACGGCGGATCGGCCAACTTCTATGTAGAATATGTCGTTCGCGAAACCACAACGTCTAACGAAATGCAGCTGAAAGTGCAAAGGTGACGAATAATTCGAATGTCCGTAACACTAAATGTAAAGTCCCGTCGACAATCAGTTTACGACGAAAAAGTTAAGAAATTGCAAAACTACTGACGAACAGTCCCACGCCATCAACCAGTTGAGTTCGTAGCGAATTCTCGCTAAATTGTAACAATCGTAATTCATTTATAGACTCTTTCGACTATTTATCGAACGAATTAAACTTACGAAAATCGAACTATAAGAAAGGAACTTACGAAAATTTCGATAGAGTCCGAGTTATCCTGTTCCCCAATCTTCACTAAACTTAAGGTTTGATCGGTGAGGCATAATCTGTAGGGTCCCTGAATGTTCTTTCGTGCCCCTAGACCTTTTCTTTGCATTGTAACTTGCCATACGTGTTCTGAAATAGAATGAATGAAAATAGAGGGATGCAGTTGACAAGCGCACGATTTATCGTGCGCATTTCCTTATGCGACGCAAAGAAACGTTCAATATTGTTACAGTATACTCGCTTTGCATCGCATGGGCACATTATTATTTAATTATTATACAGTACAGTAAATAAAGGAGGTTTGAAAATATACACGCAACCTCGTGCAAGTAAATCGTTAATTGTAATCTGAAACAAAGACTTTTCGCGCTTAATCATCGTCGCCATTGTTTTCTTTATTCTTGCTAACAGCACAGGAGCACAAACCATTGCCAATGTTATTTTTATGCCAAGGCTGTGCAATTTGTTTAAAATGAACGAGTCACAATAAAATACATGCGACAACAGTAAGACGTTGCTTTATCGTGACCTCTATATTTATATCCCTGCAAAACTCCTTGCAGATTTCTCAAAACCCGTACCAAATATTCTTTGTGATATATACACATACATGTAATAAAAACTGAAAAGTTTTCCTACTAGGAATACTGATTTAAAAAAAAAAATCCGTATCCCGCAATTCGAAATGTATCAATTAAAACGAGAAGAGGAAGAACAAAAAGTAGAATGCATAAAAAGACGACGGATCCCAAAGTGGTCGATTCATCCTGTCAAATGTAAACAAACGCACACGCGCGACCAACGGAGGAAGCCCCAAGGAAACTGAAAAAATCGCGAGAAAGAAAGAAAAAAGAGAGAGAGAGAGAGAGAGAGAGAGAGAGAGAGAGAGATAAGAACAACGTAACAACGGCTACATCTCGCGATAAACAAGGAGAAGCTCGAACGATGTTACCGCGGGGGAAGAAGCTCGATCAAAAAGTAGTCGATAGCGGGTAGTTCACCGGGAGAAGGACCCGACGGCCGTGTTAATCGCGAAACGCGGCCGTTCTTGCCGCGAGCTGCATCCCGACGACGACGACGTGCGCATCGACGCGCGCCAGCTGGACTATTTCCGCCGCGCTGAAAACTCGGCTGGAGTCGGTCCCTTCCGCTCTTCGATCCCCGAGAGACGCCTCGTATTTCTCCTCTCCGACCGCTCTCTCGTACCCCGCCGCCTGTATCAGCAGCATGTATCAGACGACGGCGACGAGAGCGGGCGAAAACTCTCTCGGAGAACGTCGGTCACAGGGGGATCACAAGCTACAAAAGTACCAAGCGAGAGAGTGCCATTCAGCGATCGGTGCGCGGCGGGCCGACCGCCTGTAGCTTCGTCGTCGCCTCGCAATATCCGCTCATCGTCGGAAGCGGAAGAATTGGATGAGGATACGCGGCACGAAGGAAAGAAGAAAAAAAAAAAAGGAGGGTTCTTTTTGATGTGCACTCACCAAATGTAGGCCGTGGTTGTTCCCCGTCGGGCACATCGCCGCTCTGCAGCCTCAGCATCGCCTGCAGCCACTCGTCCAGCTCCTTCTCGTTGTCGAGAATCAGGCAGAAGCACTCGTCCTTCGTGTAAAGCGCGATCACGTGCTTGTGCTTGGTGTCGCCCCGCTTGTTGATGTTGAAGCAGCTGTGCAGCAGTATGCTGCGTTTAGGCGGCTGACGATTCTCGAACTTCTTCTTGCTGTCGTAGTACTCGAGGCAGGCGAGGCAGCCGGGCGCCTCGCCGCGCAGCACAAAGTACTTCTTCTTCAGCGTCTTCATCTTCTTCAGGTGGCCACAGCGAATGACGGGCCCGCCCGACGGCGACGCCGGGCCCCTGCTCGACGATGCCATCGTCAGCACGACGACGAGCGGCGTGGCCACCAGCAGCGGTTCTTACCGCTCCAAAACTCTCCTCCTCCTCTCCGGGTGCAACGCGCGAACACGACGTGCTCGGTCCTCCGTGCTCGTAGCATTCACATGGCACCTCTTCTCCTACGGCTCACCCTCCTCCTCCTCCTCTTCCTCCTCCACGTCCCTTCGCCTCGTGCATGCGAACGGACGAAGCGGTCCTCGTTCTTTCTTCCTCTTTCTTTTTCTTTCTTTCTCTCTCTCTTTTTAGCGCGACACGAAGAGAAGAACGCGCGCAGTCGTCCTCGTGATCACACGTGCGTCGTTGTCCTCAGCGAGAGACCGCGCGACGCACAACAACGGCGCGGAGATTCATCACGGCGGGAACGACGGGATTCCCCGCGCTCGGACACTGAATAGCGTCCGTGTGTGTCTTTCTCTTTCCCGCTGTCTCCTCTCCCTTGCCGACGTTCACCGCTGCTGCTGGCCGACGATCGCGGCACACTCGATCGCTGCGGAACAACGCGGTTTGTGCACTTTCACATAACAATGAATATAATAATACCGGCGACAACAATAACAACAACAGCGATTCAACGTGTCAGCGAACTGCACAGACGCGAGAAACACCTGGCGCAGCGCACCGACGTCGTCGATGTGTTGTTGTGTTGTCGTCGTTGTTATTATTATTATTGTTGTCCTCGTCGCTCGTGACGTCGCCGACACTGCTCCTCCTCCTGTCGCGCACTCGAGCTGCCCGTGCAACAATAACACAATCGACAATCAAGACGGGGGACGATGCACCCGGAGCACGGCCTTCGCGGACGCCACGGACAACGGGTTCCCGTCCATAGACGCGAGCGTTTCGGCTACAACGTAAATAAGCGGCGACGCGACGCACAAACAGAAGAGCAGCACCGGTGCATGTGCACTCGATGGAGAGAGAGGGAGAGAGAGAGAGAGATACCCCACGAGCAGGCGTGTACGTACGCGCGAGCCGTCGAGGGCGTGCTGCGCCGCCTCTTCCTTCCCTTCTTCGGCCTGCAGTCGACGGTTGTGCGCGACACGCGGCCGTCCACCTCTCGCCGTAGGTAGGTTAGGAAGGAACGACAACAATAACACCGCAGCAGCTACGACGACGAGAGGTCCGTCGCGCCGACGACAGAAACGGAAAAACGGGGATGACGATGTCGCGGACGTCGACCACGAAGAAGACGACAACGCTCGATCACTCCCGCTTCGTCCACGGCGTCGAAACCAGTCGGAGGAGATCCCGCGATCGCGCCCGACGTCTCCGAGATGTCGCGACGGCACTCTCTCACTCTCGCTTCGCTCCCTCCCTTCCTCCCTCTCGCGTTCTTGCTCTCGCTCGCTCTCTCTATCTCTATCTTCCGATGTCTCGGCACGCCTCGAATCCACCTGTCACGCGGTTTCGTCTAATTTCGCCCGCCACCGATCTCGCTACGCGCCGCCGAGGAAACCGTTCGCGGAACGCGCACGCACAACGGCTCTCCCCCTCGAGGTTCCGACGGGCGAGTCAGCGCGCATTCCACGCGCGTTCCCGAGCGCGATGACAGTCGTCGGAGGTGCACGAGCGGCCACCACGAGGTGCGGTCGTGCGAACGTACGAGCGCCGAGGAGCAGCACCGTGTGGTGCACCTGTTTACCGCTCCGAATAACACGATTTACTGCGTGGTCCACGATGGTGACGTGTATGTACACACCGGTGTGCGCGCGAGCAAGCACGCACACAGAAGGAGAGACAGACGGACAAACGCGACGAATGGACGGACGGCTAAGCAGACAGACGGAGAACGCAACACACGCGAGCGGCGGACTAGCGCGCGCAACATGCACACAGCGCGCGAACGACGGGAGAGCGGGAGGGAGTGAGAGGAGCGACGACGGTAAGCAGGCAGGCGGGGGAAGGTTCACGGCAAGGCGTGTTTCTCTCTCTCTCTCTCTCTTTCTCCTTGGTCGCGAGCGAACGCGTCCCGTCCCGACTTTCGTGGAAAACGTGTTACGGTGCGGCGCGAGGAAACGCGGACGGATGGCGGCGAACTGCTGTTGTTGTGCCACTCGCAGGTGGGCGGCTGGTTGGCCGAAATTCGCCCCCTTATCGGCGTAGCCGGCTGTCTCTCGCCGCGCTCTTCTCGGTAAATAGGCTACTGCCAAGGGCAACGCGATTTTTTTTCACGCGCAATAGCCGCCGACGGCGGGCGACGTCAAAACAATCGCCGCGGCGCTCGGCATTCCAGGTCGATGCGAGAGGATATAGCGCGCGCGGTCCGTACCTCCCCGCTCCCTTCCGTCGCCACTGACTTCCACTCTTCCTGTTTCCTCGCTGCTGCTCCCGCGCGCTTCCGGTTCGTCGTCTTCGCCGTTCTTCTTCCGCTTCCTGCCCCTCGCGCGGACGGAAGACAGACGGACACTCGTCGCGCACACTAACGACGCACTATGGTGTCACGACGCAGGGCGGCTTCGTCGTATCCGTTACACGCGGGAAACGCACGCGAAGATAGGCTCTCTCTTTCTCACGCACACACTCTTTCGTGCACTCGCATACGTACACACATTCGCCCAGCCGCGGGTCGTCCGACGTTCGCCGACGAGGTGACAAATTCGGACTTCCTACGGTCTCTCTCCCGTCCGCCTCCCGCGATCACGTCTCACTCTATCTTACTCGCGCGCGCGGTAACCCTCGTTTCGCATTTACCCGGGACGCGTTCCCCTTTCGGCGACAAACAACGCGTCACTCGCTCGACCGTGATCGCGATCGAGAGAACGAGCTAGCGAACGACCGACTGATCACGTCGTCGCTCGCTCTCTCTCTCTCTCGGAAGCGCGACGCACAACGCGAATGTAACTCGAGGCGCGTGAATTCGTGGCCACGACCGCCGGAGACGTGGCCGGCCGCGTGTATTCCAGGCAAGAGGCGACCCTCTCGCCGCCACGACGTAACGCACAGTCCGCGCGGACTTACTTCTCTCTCTCTCTCTCCGTCTCTATCTCCCTATCTCTTTCTCTCTTGCGGACGGCGCGCGAGTTCACGCCTAGCCAACAACCGAACAGACGATCGTGTCTATCTTGTAAAGGTCATGTGTACGGTGAGCTCCGCAGTTGTAAACAAGATGTACGCAGGCGCTGAGCGCGCGCGCGAATGGCGGCGACGACGACGACTCGATATACGCGATACGCTACGCGATTGTAAATACGAGCCGTAGCGGGCGACGCGAACGCTCGCGCGCACGCTTTTCGATCGTGTGTGCGTGCGTCTGCGACGTGTTTACACGTATACGCACACACACATACGACGTTGGTACGGTGCAGTGGCGTAACTATCGTGTCAACGGACGGACGGACGCCGCAATGCGGAAGGACCTCGCGGAGACCTCAAGGAGGCCCCGAACGCACGACGCGCGCCGACGAACGAACCTTCTTCGAGAAAACGTCGTCGGCTTCGCCGACGATGTCGTTGTATTGTTATCGTAGACGCCAGCTCGCCTTCGCCAAGCGAGAGAAGGTTATGACGCGTCTCGATTGCACGTCCCATTCATGCGAGACGCGCATTTCGCCCAATAGGAGAGATCGATCGTACGAGCCGTTCTCGAAACGTGAACACCCGACGAACGCTACGGCGTACGCGAGCGATTATTCTTCACGCACTCACTACGTCGCACTCCCGTGCGCATTATCGGCGCGCGCGCGCGACGAACTCGCTCGTAGTCGACTGCGAGCTGCAACGCCTCAGCCTCGAGCGCGCCGTGTTTACTAACGTTAGTCCGATCGGTGTGTGGCGTTCCGGGGGGAGCCGGTACGTTGTGTTAGTGCGCGTCCGCACGCGTCGTCGTCGTCGTCGTGTAGGGCTAGGCATGCCCGATTTCGCGAAGGACGCGACGCACACACGCGACAGGACGCTCGCAACGAGCTGGAGCTCCGGCGACGCGTTACAGTTCAGTCCGAAGGATTCTAATTGGTGGTGCACACTCGGCGTATCTTTTCCTTCCTACACCGCGACAGATATCGCGCACCGTGAGAAAGTCCATTCTCGGCGCCGTCGCTCTATTTACATAACTACGGAGGAACGTTTTCTCCGTAATGTACGCGTTATCGACACGTATCTCGTGATGAAAAAGAAATGTTTCCGGCAGCCTCCGTGTCGTCCGAAGTTGATGATTAATGTTATAATGTTATAAATTAGCTGATGATTAATGTTGTAAATTAAATAAAGGATGTTTACAAAACGTGTCTCACGGTGGCAAAACAAAACTAGCTTGAACATTTTACAGGATTAATTGTATGTTTAGAAGATGTACGGGAACACAGAGCAAGATTTCTGTGTTCTTTTCAAATGGATAAACCATGGTTGATGCTGCTCTTATAAGAGCGTTATATTATTTAATATTAAATAATATTCTGGGCATATTCTTAGAATATTAAGACAGTAGTAACATTCTAATAATATTCTAATAATATTCTAGTAATATTATTTAATATTAAGTAATATTTGTGAAATATTAAAAAACGGTTACATGTCCGTAATATTTAATAAATAATATTATTTAATGTCATTGTAATATGTATTTTTTGAATATTCAACTCTATGTATGTATATAATATATATAATTGTAGTTTTTTATTTCAAATGTATTGCAATTCCAATTGTTATATTATATAAAGAATTTTGAAAGAATTTCGGAAGAATTTTGTGTAAAAATGTTTTATACTAAAATAATTATATACATTTTTTTATTTATATGTATTTTCTATATTATTTTTTTTAATATTCTACAAACATTTTTATAATAGAGAATATTATGTAGACATATAATATCAATGGAATATTCCTATAATATCAATATTACGTAACATTCTTAAAATATTATAAGAATATTATTTTAATATTTAATAATATTCATATAATATTCTAGAAATATTATATGCTTATAGGGGCGTGTCAATGAAGCATGTCCTTGAAAATTACCAGGTGAATTTCCATGAAAATTCAAAGGAACTTGTGTGAATCCATATAGGATATTAAAAATTCATATAGAAATCCACATAGTATATGAAAATCCATGTAGGAATCTACATGGATTATTACCTAGGATTTAAGTTTTTGGAGCAAATACCCATAGAGTAACCATAGGAGATTCCATATGAATTTCCTATATGGATTTTTACCTGATTTTTTTTCAACACAAGTCATGTAGGAATATTGGTACAAAAATATATAGAATAGATATTAAAAAAGTACATTCGAAATTCATGTTTTATACGGGATGCTTTCCATTTACATGCTTTTTATTTAATAACTACATTTATGTCGATGTGATTTGGTTCAAATTGATAGCTCTAATATAATAAATAGAAAGTACTTAGGGGGAAAAATGACACACATAACTTCGATTGATTGATACTGAAAAAAAGATAAGTAAACTTATATTTCCAAAGACTGGAAAAGAAATTTTATACAAAAAATATACATATATCCAGATAGCTAAACCTGCAAAAATAGATTTTGAGCTGTGTGTACAATCTGTAGACATTGTAAATAGTTTGCTAGCAAAAATATATAATCTTACAACGTATGATGATAGACTGATAGCAGAAATCGAGCAGGTCTGTCGTTCCAATGCGTTTAAATGAAATATACTGCAGATCCTGCTCGTTTTCTGCTACCAATCTGTTGTCAGATTCTGCCAGTACTCATACTGTCGACCGAACAAAAGATTGCGGAGATAGATGACTATGGATCTGTCAACAGATGGTCCGATCTGTCGCCAATGCGTCATCAGATTGCTAAGAGAAAGATCATTTATTGGATACATATACAGAAAAGTTTTCACTCTTCTTGTAATTTAGAAAACTACTGTTAATACCTCTCCCCCTTCAGCTTCGCTCAACTCGTAGCCAAAGCAAAGTTAGTAAAAGTTTACCTTACTTGAGTCACCGACACACAGTTATACAAATTAAATGAAAACAAAAATGATATTAAAAAAAAAGTCAACCTGCATCGCTAGATGGAAAGCACTCACTATACACTTGTTCAATATTTCTATCATTAAAAAAATTAATACGTCACAATATTGAGAATGTACCTGTAAAATTTACCTTAATTTTACAAAAAATATCACTATTGTCAGTAACAACATTGAATAATATTTTTTACATTTCTGCTAGCTTCAATGAAGCTTAATATTTATTAGGTCTTGAGTCTGTCTATGTGGATAGTATCTGGATGCGCAGATACATAATTCTTGATTATTCAATCAATCATTTCGACAGCTTGATATACAATATCATATTAAAATTGAGAATAATTAATACTAACGAATCTTAGCCTAGTTCAATGTATAATAAGGCTTTATTAAAGCTTAATTTATATAAGCTTATGTAAAGCCCAATAATAGGAACTTCGTTTAAAGTAAAAGCTTCAGCAAAATGAATAACTTAATTCAAGACAATGTTTTACATCGCAAGTCTTAAATAATGATTGTCTTGTGTCTGAAGTCTTAAATTAAAAAGTCGTTTGATTTGTGATGATATACTGCTGGAGAAAAAAAATTTTAGGGCACAGAATATTGCCTTAACTCTTAGCGGTAAATATGCGAACTTGTCACCTCCTACGTGACGTACGACCGCAGCGACGAAGTATTGTTGTCACGTGAGAGGTAACTTATGACCGATAAGGGTTAAAATTACAAGTCAGCCATTCTATTAGGTCTTAAACATCTTAACAAATATTTGAGACTGAAAAAAAATAAGGATCACTTATAAAGCAATAACAATACTACGAAATCTCACTTATCTAATTCCTAGTTAGAAAATACAAATTTCTTGACTTATCATCACTTCAGTTACATCTATGATAATTAATATTTTATATATTTCTGAATGATAACTTTGTAAGGGATTATCATAACATTAAAAAAAAATAATTTATCTGATATACTATCTTATAATATAGGAATTATACTCTTTCTGTATAAAAAAAAAAGAGAGAGAGTATATATTTGGAATTTGCAAGACAATGTAACAAAAGCTAAAAGGCACTAAAGATTTATCGTCGAGAATATCCAACTTACGTTGATATTCGTACTAAATATTAAACGCAAATATTGTTTTTTGTGTTTTCATAACAAATACAAGCATTAGTTTGGCTATATCTACGTATGATAAAAATCAACTATGCGGAAATATATCCCAAGTGCATTGTTTGTCAAATATACTTGGTAATCTCTTCCGCTGCGATATTTTGCATCAATCTTTAGCAACAGTTTTCAGAAGTAATACATGCTTCTTCGGGAGTATCACCAATCACAATGATCCATATCGACCTTTGTGAGCAATCAAGTGATCTGTATATTATTTTATATTTTATCATCCATGCCCTTTGTATGGTACAAAAATACCCGTATTTAGTCTCAGAAGGGTAAAGAAGGAGCGGAAATGAATGTGAATGAAGAATAATGTGATGTTAAGTGGGGTAGGAAATATTATAGATAGTACAAAGTATTTTCAAGGGAATGGTGTGGTTCTACTTGAATATTCTGACCGACCTGGTACACTAACTTATGGGCGTACTGGCAGGGAGCAGGTACGCGTATTGTACCGGGCCAATTGTAGTACAAATGGCAAAGTTTGTATGTGAATCGCTGTATGTGATCAGTTTTCATATCCGACGAGTCATGTAGAACGATATAATGAATGGGTGACACTGAACCCTGTCGTACACTTTGTGGCACAAGGAAGAAGTCGTAATAATTCCGTCTCGTGATGCAGGAATCGACCACTGTTCCTGCAGCAGGATTCCCTAATCCGCCTCTCTGAAAACCACAAAAGCTGTAGAGAGGAATCAAATCGTGTCAATACGATCAATTGTCGCATTGTCTACTCACGTTGTTAATGAACAATCGCGTGTTTATGCGTTTTTGAACGACGATCACGCAGAGTTGCGGCTTGTAATTTGGTTCAATGCGTTTAAAGGCCGCCAATAATTGCTTCACTTCGTATTTCATAACGTAATCCAAATCACCGTCGCCGACTCCGTCGCGATAAATCATTATACGTTCCGGGTTTGAATGGTTGTACTGAAACGATATCAAAAGTATTGACGAGCTTACGAGAGGAGGCTTCCTCGACCGGTGTTGCATTTGAAAAACGTAAGATACATAGCGCGATTACCTTGTAGAAGGTTGTGACGGCCGAGATGAGACACACTTGCAGCATATCCATCAACTCCTGCTTGGAAGCCTGCATGCAGATTTTACTGTGCCATTTGGTCAATTGAGAGTCTATACTCGCGACAAAACCTGCTACGCTCCGCCTTGTGCCGCTTCCTATACCGCTGTGATACACATCTATACCACACACCATGGTAGCAACTTTCTGTTAAAACAACACAACGAGAAATTAAGAAATAAAAGAAAAAAACAATGGATGATGTATATAATAGAACACAGAAGCAATATTTTTCTACATATACCATTGGCAAAGCCACAGTCCAAAGTGCTCCTCCCAATTTGCAGTTGATCTGAAGCGCTATCTTCTCCGTGACACTTTTTAACTTGATAGGATTGGAAATCGTTTTCGAAATGATAACTTGCGACGCAATGGGATTTTCTACGCAGCATAGTCTATACGAATGCAAGAAACGGGAAGAAAAAGTGAAAGTAAACCTTAAGAAAGAAAGAAAAGAGATTGTTTCCTTTCCAAGTCCTTGCGTGATTGCACAAATGAGAGAAACATTCAATACATATATGAAAACTTTTTACAGTTAAGTACTTTACCAATCAGTTAGTAATATCAAATGCTTGAACTACATACTTCGCAAAGCAAAGCATTCGTGCGTGAGTGTAGTGAAATTTTTAATGAAATTGTAGTGGAACAGCCAACTAACCTTTTTAACGCGCTGTACCGATCAGTACGGTTGGTTGGAAACACTGCGACTACCAATTCGTAATCATGGTTGAAGTTCTTCCGAATTTCTTGCAGGTAATTTTCGTTTCTGTCGTCCCACAAAACGATCTTCAGCGGATCGTTAATTCGCATACCGATCGCTCTCGCGATGTTCCGCAGCATAGTTAGGAAATCGTGTACGACATTTGCATCTCTGTTAACGTACAAGATGTACCATTTGTTCAAATTCGGCTGAAATATAGGAGAGTATAATAACGACGAATGTTTTCACAAAGCAACCGCCGTTCTCTCTGTCCTTAAAATCGATTGTTACTTCGATGCACTCACAGTGCGCAATACGGGGTTTCGTGTTGCGAAGCTCGACCAATCGGTAAGCTTGTCTCGATTAATATCGCACTTCTGCTTATTCCCAAAGAAGATTTCTTCCGGTGGGAGAACTCTTCCGTTAAATTGTATTATATCGTTGCTCAAACGCAAGCCCCATCCTGATAACATCTCTCGTGTCAATTCATTCCTTTTTATCTCCTGTACAAACAGCCTGATTTCGTCGCGACGTCTACCAGGCGCCACTTTCGTAATCTCGTCCAAATCTTTCATCACCCTGAAGTTGGAGCGGATACTGTCCGTGAGACCCGCGACGTACGACAATTCCGGTATCAGAAGTATCGTCTTTTCTTGTCTCTAATGTATTGAAATGATTTTTTTACAGTGCAAGTAAAACCTAAAAGAGCGATTGTATATCAACGATAGAGATGTGAATCAAGGGTTTTTGAGTCGAATCGAATCAAGAGTTTTTTGTATCGAATCTCATTTTTATGTTTTAATCCGAATTAAATGAAATCGAATCGTTGAAACTTTTAACATCAATATAATCATTGAATTCAATATGAAGATAGTGAGAAGAGACTTCGGCACGAGAGGGAACATCGATCTTGTCATATCAACTCATTTTAAAGTCAGAGAGAGAGAGAGAGAGAGACGCACTGCGCGCGCGCGCACGCACGCACGCACGCACGCACGCACGCACGCACGCACACACACACACACACAAATATTTAGAAAAGAACTAATACTAATGAAATATACTTTGATTAGGATAGCAGTAATTGAAACAGTCAGATGAGAGATCATAAATCTAAAGTATTTTGAAGAGCGTCAACATTATCAGCAGTTTACAATCAATGCAGAAACTGAATGATTTTTAGAAATGCAGTTTTACAATAATATATTGCTCGTCATAAATATATATATATATATATATATATATATCTATGACTCACATCAGAATAATTATATTGCAAAATATTGCGATATACGCTAAATTTGACACTTATATCAAATGATTCAAAATTATCATTAACACCAGCACTTTTCAATTATCTACACATCCACACTTGATATCATGAAAATTTATTTAAACATCTCACGTCTCTTGCCGATGTTTCTCGAGTTACCGCTTTTAATATTTTTGAAGAGGGTCTTAACAGCGAGTTTTTCAAGTCATGCCAATTCCCGTAGAGCTGGACGTCTTTAATAGTACTTCATTAATGCTAACGTATGTGATTCGTATTCGGATTTTTTTTATTCGAAATTTTCAAATAATTCGGATTCAAATCAGATGAGATTCAGCTCGAATAGTTCGCGCATCTCTGATCGACGATATGAACGAAATAGTGATACCACAAACCTCGCCGGTAGGCATTCTCTCCGTAGCCCGGTGAACTAAGAGCGGTTGATTTATGTCTCTTATCTCGACGTTGCAAAATTTCTTGTAATAATCTATCAACGATATATCCTCTCCGTTTTTAGAGAACTTATGCTTCGGCGTTTTGTCCCAATCGATGTCGTCTATACGATACGTCCTGTTATTGTATCGCGTCAGAACACTCGTGCCGACGATTTCTCTCACCACAGATTCCCGGTAATTATGCCGTTGCTTTTGAAACATATCGGTCCTGCGAAACAACTATTGTTGAACACAAACCGAACGGTCTCTCAGTCTCACAAATTGTCCAATTGTTAACTTTGATGATACGATCTAGAAACGTCGGAAAAGAATAATCTCTTACATCAAGTCTCGCACCGTTTGCGTGCGCAGCACGCGATGTTTAAAATCCACACATAGCTTTAGGCCACCCTCATACTCGTTGATGGCGGTCACGTAACCGGGCCACACTTCCAACTGATGTTGATTTATGACATGTGAACATTTCGGGTTAAAACTTTGCCGGCCGATACGAACTAAAGAAAGCGCGCGCATAATACGGCCGAGCAGAACGTTGAAGAATTGAACGTTTTCGCTCATCGATTGTTGTTTCTTATAAATAATTGTGAGAATCACATCCGACCCGTCTACCGGATGTTCGGATTTGAGCCGTGTAATCTGCAAAATTGACAATTATGATCGTTAACGAGTTACGCGTGCATTGTATCGTTCGACGTTCTCACCACAGAGAACTTACGTTCTCTGGCAGTTTTTCCGGCAAGAAGAGTATCATTCCGTCGAATGTTCTTGTTCGTCCCAACATGGCACCGTGCTGATTTAGCAACTTCCGCCGTAATCCTCTCGCATCTATATCCGGCGAAAATTTCACCTCGTATTGGAACAAACCCTTGCCGGGCTCCAGTTCCAGGTCTATATAATTAGCGGATACATTTACTCTAAAATAAAAATAAAGAAAGAAAAAAAAATTTTTTTAAAACTATTTTTATCGTGTCGCTGCTGATTAAATTATGGAGATACACGTGTCCTTTTCAACATGCACGGTGGTACTTGCTTAATTCCATTTTTACATCGCTAAAAATCTTCCGAATATATGTCTTTGGGACTCGTTGAAATTTTACCGTCTAGTGTTGTAACTCGTGCAGAATACACAATGCGAGTTCAACGCGAAGGAAGTTACTCTACATACGGATTAAGGTTGGCTGTAAACGTTCGTAAACATCTAAGCGCGTTACCTTGTTCCACTTTCGCCTTGTCGGCGTATTACAGTCTCTTTTTCCGGAGATACTTCGTGTGAGGGCGGATTATCATAAACTGAGAGATCGGCCAATGCGCCCAAAATTCCACTGTCATCATCTTTAGTGGCATCAATCTTCCGAACGGGCGTGCTAGCTGATATAGAGGAACTTGAGGTAGAGGCACTTGCTCCAATGAGACTGAAAAGAATTCGGCTTCCTATGAATATTCATTTGTAAACGTGACATCCGAGATATCAAACAATTATCTACACTCACGCGTGTTTTTGCAGCACACCGAGAAGAGAACTCCGACCCATTCCTTGGCTTGATGCTCCATGACCTATTGGAGGAACATAGTCCTCGTATTTCGGTCCGCTGCTACTGCTTCTTTGCAACTGCAAACTCATCAGGTTAGCTAGGTTCGCACGCCCACGGCCTGCTGTAATGATAGGTGGACTTGCAAATAAACTTTGTCCATAAGACTCTCTCTCGAATGATGTTTGGTCCGACGATGACTGACTAGGTGTTTCCAGAGAATATTTTTCCTGTTCCTTCTTTTGCTCTTTGCGTTTCTTCATCATTTCTAATAGGTAAGAGCTGCGGCCCTTACCAGGAATATTCTTGTCACTCATTTTGAAGGTCTCACTACATATGAGGGAAATATAAAACAATACTTGTTTTAGCTGAAGACACATGTAAATGATGGCTAAACTAAGGAAACTATAGTTTCTTGAATAGTGATTTCGATATATATGTACTAAGATATTCTTGATGCTTTATATAGAGACATATTAGACACTTGGTTATTTCGCTATAATTATAATTTTTAATTTATATAAAAGAAATTCCTTTCACACTCACATAGACTATATAAAGAGAATTCCTACATAGAAGTGGCAGTTTCAGGTCATTTTTTTATCTTGAAAAAATAAACTAAAATGTTCACCAAATATTGGAAACAAATCCATGAAGGATGCAGCACTAGCTTGGTAGCCAATTTAAGTAATTTTTAATTACTTCAATGTATATCTACTATTGGAAATTTCAACAAGATTGATAATATAAAAGTTGATATATAAAAGTTGATAATATAAAAGTTAAGTAAAATTATACCAAACTGTATTCTTAGAGAAACATGAAACTATACAATATGAGAACGTGCAACCAAGTGTTTCTTTATGCTAATTCAGCATGCCCCTTCTCGAAGGAAGAGTTTATCAAGAATATCATGTGTTGAAGAAAAAAAAAAAACTGCTGACATCACCAGTCAACTACAAACACACACAAGTATTCGTTCCAATAGAATTTACAGTTATAAAAAATAAAACAAATTTTGTACGTTGTATCCGATGCGACTTTATCTGTAATTTCATTATCTTTACTTTATTATTATCTTTAATTCTGTTCTATCAGTCTAATCAAGTCATGGCTCTAATAAAATTAAATTGTTAACCAATGTTATGTTTTTTTATCAAGATATGCATGCATGAATTTATTGAATATAATCTACAATAGATAATAGGAATATGTTCATAAGAATAATAAAAAATTGACTAATCATATCCAAAGAAGAATAATCAACTACGATTGGTTAATTTCTTACTCTTATTTCTTATAAACATACTCCTACTGCCTATTGTAGACCACACTTATAAGTGGTTAATTTCTTACTCTTACTTCTTATAAACATATCCCTATTGCCTATTATAAACTACACTTGATACAAGAAGAGGAAATAGAGAAAACAGAAAGGAGATGCAGGAAATGTATGTGTATATATGTGAAAATAATGAACAGAATGCAATAGCCATAGTCAGTTTTTCCCTTATGTTCGTTTCTACAAACGTCGATTAAATTTTAACCTAAATTTTAATTATTCGGACAAAAGCTTGTTTAACACAGGCTTATCTGACAAAGATTTTAGACAAAAACTCAGATTATCTATAGTAAAGTCCTATATTTGTCTGACAATTTCACGTTAAAACTCCGATATGACTCGATATTATAAGGAAAAACCGGCTACGGTAACCGCAGCGATTATTGAAATCGAATTGTGTACAAGAATTTTCTTTCTCTTGTAAAAAAAGAAATAGCCATGAACGTTCCATTCCCGTGACGAGAACTTGGAATAGTCTGACATGGCGAGTCGTTAACCTGACGCAGGGTGGCAAGAATATCGACAAGTTTAACGACGTCAGAATGAATTAAATGTTCACGAAGAAACGCGGGAATGCCTTAGTCACTTACTGGATTTATCACGTGCACGAGTTTCTTTCACATTCGCTTCAGAAAAGATATGAAATTCTTGACTGTACTCGTCCGTTCGTGGTACCTCAAGAACACGTCTTCGACAAAAGACGCAAAAACCACGACTACTCGTTCTCGAGGCGCGAAATATAAATTCGAAAGACAATGTGGAACGCAGTGATGGAAAGTTGGATAGGCTGGACGTGCGTGCGCAACGATTTCAGCGTTAAGAATGTGTTCAAAAATCCTACTTGACGGATAGAATGCCCATTATTAACCAATCATGATGAAGAAATCCTTGTTCCCTCTCTATTCTGATTGATCAATTAAATACTGCTCTACTCGTCTCGTAGAATTTTTGAACTCACTAGATAGTATGTAAAATAACTAAAGGCTCAGTTATGCAGGTTGTAAACCGTTAATCTTATGCCAGAACTGTAAAAAATTAACCAACCACAGTCGAATCATAGAAGAATAATCGATTGTGATTCGTATAATTTCTTACAATCCTGGCATATGGTAACGGTTTACGACTGTATAAATGTTACGGCTGTAAAAAAGTCTTAAGCCCGTATCAGACTATGGATTGAGGGTTGAGATTTAATTGAATTTTGCCAATCCGTGTAAAGTTAACTAAACTAAAGTTTGGTGAAATTTAGTGAACTTTGCACTAATTGGTCAATTTTCAGATTAATCTCAATTTTCAACCCGTAGTCTGATACGGGCTTTACTGGAGTATTTACTTTTTCGTCACACGCGTGCGCATGCATATCCTATTTAACCTTTTCATCACTGGTGAAGCGACGCTACCTAGCGTTATAAATTGCCAAGCGGTTCTATACGGTGCATATACGGTCGATAAACTTTATTGATCGTTGTCATTTGTATATATCGAAAGCGATAAATAAAAATTAGAGACATTATACAAAAATAATAACACAAGCAATATTATTTTATATTATAAATATTATTATTCTATATATAAAACACAAAAGTTCAAGGATGTATTATATATATATATATATTAGGTTGGCAAGGATGAAATTTGTAGTTAATAATATTGCCAACTATAACAGCTTATTATTTGACATTGGCTTAACTCATTAACTGCCAAATTTTTTTTTTAATTTTTGACCGGATAAGTTATATATATGCACCAAAAGTTGTGTAACAGTATAATTATATTCAAATTATGTTTTGTTTTGAGCCCCAAATGGGGTTCGTGGCAGCTAATGGGTTAATATATTACCATTCAGTTTTTTTTGTTGGAAAGTTACATATCTCGCCTGTTTAAAGAAATCATCGTAAGCTCTAAAAAATATTAAAACCTTTTATAAAAAATTAATTTTGTTGAGAATGAAACGGTCGGAAATTCGCACTATTATGAAGTATGAATTCTTACGTGGAACTACGGCATCACAGACCGCGCGAAACATTAATAGTGTACTTGGCTCTAGTATTACTACGCAGCAGACAGTATCAAATTGGTTCGCCAAATTTCGTACAGGTAACTTTGACCTCATAAATGAGCCACGCGGTCGCCCAGAATCAAAGGTCAATAATGACGAACTAAAGGTCACCGTTGAGTCTGATCTATCTCAGAGTGCCTATGAATTATCGTTGAAGTTTGGTGTTAGCAAACAAACAATATTAACTCATTTAGCTCAAATCGGTAAAGTGAAAAAGTTGGATAAGTGGGTTCCACATGAACTGAATGAAAAACAGAAACAAAAGCGTTTGGAAGCTTGCTTGATGTTGTTTTCTCGTTACAAATCTGATCCATTTTTGAATCGAATTGTCACTTGGGATGAGAAATGGATCCAATATGACAATCGCAAACGTTCAGCATAGTGCTTGAACAAGGATGAATCACCAATACACACTCCAAAGCGCAATATTCATGAAAAGAAGTTGATGGTGAGTGTTTGGTGGTCTAGTGCAGGTGTGATCCATTATGATTTCATGAAACCTAACTCATCGATCACAGCAGAAATATACTGCAACCAACTGGACGAAATGATGCAAAAACTTAAAGAAAAACAGCCTAAATTGGTCAACAGATCGACTCCTATCTCATTGCATGATAACGCTAGACCACACACTGCACAAATGACTGTGGCAAAACTACAGAAATTGGAGTTGGAACTTCTTCATCATCCTCCATATTCACCAGATCTAGCCCCCTTGACTACCACTTCTTCCGCAATTTGGACGACTTTTTAATAGGAAAACAATCGAATTCCGACAATGCTGTGAAACTGGCCTTCCAGAAATTCATTGACTCTCGTCCGTTTTATACCAGTGGCCTGAACAACCTGCCGCTTAAATGGCAAAAGTATATAGACAATATGGGTGCATATTTTGATGAATAAAATAATTCCTTATATTTGTAAGTTATTAACCAATTTTGCCTTTTTTTCTACAAATTTCATCCTTGACGACCTGATATATATATATACACACAATTGAAGGCTCGGTTGTAAGATCCAGCCAAATTGTTTTACGAATATTACACAGAATTTAGAATATTGTGCACGCAAGACACATCTGAAGGTGTGATCAAATTTATTCCGTCTTGTTCCGGTCAAAAGATGAGTAAGGAGTCCCCAATCTCTTTCTCGCAGTTTCAAGATAATCCCACTATATCTTTCTCTTTTCTTATCACTCATTAAACGTTAAAGAAGTCGCTGAAGCAAATGGAAATTTGGCTGAGATCTTGCACATTTACGTACCTTCAGTTGCTATTAATAAAACTTTATTCAATGTCGACATACATTTCGCATTTAAAATTTGCATGATATTTATAATTCATTATTTACAAGTATATCGTATATATGTATAATTAATTAAAATATAATTAAAATAGAATTATTACAATAAACTCTAAAGTGAATCAAACAACAATGGACCTGCCGTAAGGAATCGAACGACCGCACTAATATATGCACATTCTGACGAGTTAAAAAGTATCGATGGCAAGAGGTCCCTTGGACTTGAGCTGACTGTTTCTTTACGCGTTATCGCGTTTCTGAGCACAAGTATGACGTGTATATGGGTTTACCTCTTCGAGGTAATAATGGCACTTGACACTTGCATAAAAGTATCCTATTACAACATACAAATATTGGATGAGAGATATTTTACCGTTGAGACGCGCGAGTCTGACGCGGCATAAATAAAAGATATTGCATCAGATCGAAATCCTATTTCTTCGAAATTTACTACTAATTTTCTCATAAAGGGTCACTAACGTCTGTGCCATCCGAAATTAGTACAAATTCGAAATTTTTATCACAATGCAATTCCCTTCGTTCTAATCACGATTGTTCCGCGAAATATGCACACAAAGAGTGGAAGAGTATGATCAAATGCGCGACTATAATCTGTATACCACGTGATATGAGAAAAGTATAAATAAATGCAGGTGTCGCCAATTGTTTCCTACAGCCGAGAAACCGTGATGTCCTTTTATATTTATCCTCTCTCTTCTCTCTCTCTTCTTTTTTTCTGCCAAAATGTGATCGAACGCGAATATTAAATATACATCATCTCTATTTGTTTCGTTAAAAGTCGTTATCCCAACCGGAAATATCATCTGGTGGCGGTGGATCAGAATCTGGGGGATACTCGTCGAAGTTCGCAGTGTCTGTGGCGCCTTGGACTCGCGGTAATATCGGTGGTTCCAGGGTTCTGGTTCTCAAGCCTTCCCAATTGAAACCGTCGAACCATCTGCAATAAATGCGAAAATTGTAGAAATGCGCTGATATTAACCCACCACATTTCGAAATATTAAAACGCGAACGTGTACTCACTTGTGCTTCTGTATCTCGCTGATGCCGCCTCTTTGATAACCAAGACGTTCCGCTGGATTATCCCTGAAAAGAATGGAGACTTGCAACGCTTCGTACAGATGTTTAGCGGTTACAATATCAACGTGCACAGAAAGACATGGTTTTATCGTTTACCTGCAGAGTTTTTTAATTAGCGCCATGGCGTTACGCGTGATAGACCTGGGAAATTCGATGACATCGATTCCTTTCAAGATAATATTGTACGTCTTCATGGGATCGGCGCCGGTGAATGGAGGTGTGCCTGTTAGCAGTTCAAACATTAGAACTCCGAGGGACCAGTAATCGGCGCTTATATCGTGTCCTTTATTGAGAATCACTTCCGGCGCTACGTATTCTGGCGTGCCGCAGAAAGTCCACGTCTTCCGCCCGTGATCCAGTCGCTTAGCGAAACCAAAGTCCACGAGTTTCACATATCTGGAGCATAATATATACTCTATCAAGATACATCTCTCGAAATTGTCCCAGTAATATCTTACATATCGACATATCTGCTAAATCTATATATGTCACGTGTAATATACAGGGTTTTCCATTAAGAGGTTTCATTTTGAGTTATTAGAAGAACCAATTTTTTTTTTACAAACGTGGTGATATTTTTATTCTAATGCAAAGTACAGACTGTACAATTAAGTGTGGAACACAATATCTGATTGAAAATGAAACTTCTCAATGGGAAACCTTTTATGATAATACGTGCTCTTACCCTTGACTATCTAAAAGTAAATTTTCCGGTTTCAGATCCCGATAGATAATGTTCCTGGAGTGCAAATAATCAAAGGCTTCGACGACGCAGGCGGTGTAAAATCGCGTAGTACCGTCGTCGAAGTGTCCCTTGTCCCTAAGCACAGTCCACAACTCGCCGCCTAAGCAGGCTTCCATCAACATGTAGAGATACTTTCTGTCCTTGAACGTCTTGAAGAGTTTCACCACGAAGTCGCAGTCCGCCTCACCCATGATTCTCTTTTCCGACATGATGTGCTGTTGCTGTCGCGTCTCGACGATTTGCGCCTTCTTCATTTGCTTGAGAGCGAAGGATCGCGTGTTATCTCCGACAATTTGAACTAATTCGACTCTTCCGAAACCACCCACGCCGAGAGTCGCAAGTGGCCGAAGGTCTTGTAACCGTAGATCCCGGAATTCTTCATTCAACCTGAAGAAACGATGAAATCTTAGTCTTTGCTTAAAATTGCACCAATATTTATACCATCCCCCTTACGAAAAAATCAGAAAATTAATCGCACGTTTGTAAACTGCAGATGAATTAATTTTTACCGCTTACCGCTTTCTATCTCTATTTCTACACCGATAACATTCTAACAACGTTCCATTAAATATATCAGCGTTCGTCTTTATCATTGAACTTACTCGGAATGTATAGTTTACTCTTCCATCCTAACGATAAGCATGAAACATAATATTTATTTGTGGTAATAAGTGTAACGTATTCATTACACACATACTATCACACATATTATCAATTCTGGAATGATTATCCGACATGAATCTAATTCGTACAGTTAATAAAAGATATATCTTACCTCCTACGCTCCACCAGTTCGTCCTTGTATCGCGTTCGGATTTCGTCCAAGGATGAAATTAATTGATTAAACGTTTCGCGGTCTATTACCAAACAACTCACTCCTTCCGGATCGTCAGCGATGATGTTAGCTGTTCTGAGATCATCCCTGTGAGAACGAAGTATGTTAATGTTAAAATTCTAATCGCATAATCCAAGTAATTTAAATATTTTCAACATGAAAATAAGAATATATACTATGTATGAATAATAACCCACCCTTGCAAGGCTTTCTCGCCGAAGAAATCGCCTCTCCCAAGCGTCCTGATGTACTTTTCTTCCGTAGTATCCGGTTGCTTTATCGTCACGCGCACCTGCCCTCTGCTGATGATGAAAAACGTGTCACCCCTCGCCCCCTGTCTTACTATGTAATCCTCATTGTTGTAGAATGTCTGCGAAGATAAAATAAATGATGGTTACAATAAAGACGAAACTAAAAAACATCTCGTGTCTCGTTGAGAACGCGACCTCACCTCTTCTAAAACGTCCGAAATTTTTATTAGAGTTTCCTCAGGCAGGTTCTTGAAAATCGGCACGCTGAAACGCGAATAACATTATATTTTCATTTAATGTGAAATCAAATCATCGAGAAATTCTAGAGAGAGAAAGAGAGATATCTCTAACAACAGGCTGTTGCATGTAAAAATCCAGATGGGTTTACCTCTTCAAGAAGTCAGTATATTCCGCCTGCCTCGAGAGACCAGTCTTCATCATGATAGTTTGGAAACATGGCCGTTCGATGGCCCAGAGCTGGCAGTCAGTTGCAGCAGTAATCGTTGCTGTCCTCTTGCAATTGTAAAGAATTGCGAGTTCGCCCAGCACTTTGCCCGGTGCCAAGGTACTGAGGTATTTGCCATCTCTCGACACCTGGACCTTACCCTCTGAAACAGAATTCACGAAATATTAGAACTAATCGAATCGTATTCGTTTCTCAGGGAGAAAAATCAAAGACAGTTCTATACTACGATTGAACCGTAAACACGTTCAAAATATAATTAAAAAAAAAAAGGAACAATTTTTTCATATAACATATTAACTTTATTTAACTTTAGTTAAGTGCACGTAATTATCTTGTTTACGCGAAGAAGTAAATATGGCAGATTTTAATCGAACACGTAAATTTTTCTAAACGAATTTTCCTACGAATCTTGAGGAAGAAATCGAAAATATTCGTGAAAAATTTGAAAAAAAAATCTGATTTTTTCGAGCCTTCCAAACTATAGTTCAAACTACGTGAGATCACTACATCAGAATTATCCGAAATAATTACAAGATATAGTTTTAATTGGAAAAAAATCCGTTTTTTCTCAATTTTTTCGCGAATTTCTTTGATTTCTGCTCCGAGAACACGAAAATTCGTTCAAAAAAATTCACGTGCGTTCGGTTAAAATCTACCACGCTTACTTTTTCGAAATTTTAAAACTATATTACAAAATCAACCACAAGTAATCCGCGCATATATCGATATAACGACAAGAATGCAAGAACAACAACAATAATAATAATAATAATGACGTTATTCTGGGAAGTCCGGAATAAAATTCTAAGTTCAAAGACACAGAGAGCCGCCTGAGGAACCGGTATTAAAATTAATCGTTATCGCAAATTCCCTCCACATGTCCGATCCTTGAGTGGTCATCGGTGTGCTTTACGAAACTGGAAACTAACCGTAGGTAGTAAGGCGGTATGTACTCGTCGAGACAGTACCGGTGCCATTACCAGCGGCTACCAGGTCGCGCGAGAGACAAGTTCCGGATGTGAGTGATTAATTTTTATGCAAGCCGGGCGACTTCTGCTACTCCCGACGGCCCGCTGACATTTCTGCGAGCGTCAATCGCTTCTATCACGGCGGCGATCTCTCGGCCGTTCGTTCGATACACGAACATTTAACTCAATCGTTGACATTTATATCGGTGGGACCCGGCGACTTCTGGAGGAAAGGTTACCGCAGCCGGTACTGAGTCGCGGAAATCGCAAGCCGCCGTGCAATTACACACCCGTGCGGTACCGAGAGAATATCACCGTGTTACTTCATATCCTCCGCTAACGTCCTGTAACGCAACGTTACGGTTGACCATGTACGGGCCGCCTATTCGCCGTAACGGTGAAGTGACGCACTGAATGCAACGTGTTTCGATAATACCTCTCGGAAAGAGTTAATTAGCTTAGAGGAATCCACCTTTTTCCTCCAGGAACACGCGAGTGATATCAATGCACCGGTGTAGAGCCAGCTGATGTGAAATTAGCTGGTACACACGGTGAGACCAAGTTTCGCTAGAACAGCAAATTGTTTGTCAATACAGTGACGGAAAAAAAATTCGTCACATGGAAAAAATAATTCTGCTTTTGTAGCAAAAACGTCGTTGCGGCAGCGATACAATTTAGTTGGCACGACCAAATTATTTTGCTGTCCGCATATTCAGCAAACGGCAATTAATATTCTTGACAAATTTTTCTGTTGTCCAAATAGATTTGTTTTGCCGTCACTATCACATTAACAAACAATTTGCGGTTCTAGCAAATTTGTTTTCTCCATGTGGAATCAGCCGAAGCGGAATCAGCTGATACGAAATCAGCTGCAAAGATAAGTACGGATGATAAAGTTTCCTTTTCGGAGTTTGGAATATGGGACGATCGCTCGGGAGTCTATGAGCCATTTATAACGACAACAACAATAAGTTGACAATAACAATAAGAAGATAAGGTGGTATTTTACAGCCTTTCTAGGTATAATGGTCCCTCTGAATATCTCCGTTGTTACGTGGCGATTTCTACTGATTATTTATGGAACCATCTGTTTAGTAGCCCGCCGTAGTCGCGCTATGCTAATATACAATAACCAGCATTTGCTATAACGTATTTTTACTTTCGAGCACTTCAAAATGTTTTCAAGGAATATTTTAGCATTTAATTATACATAACCTTAATATTCTCTTTAAACTCGAGCATATTATTACACGAATATATGTATACTTGAGCGTTTTGTTCGTTATTTAACACTTTATTCCGCTGTATACATTTTAAAATATGCAAAGTTAAACGACAGCGTGGCATTTTGATAATTTCGGCCTTCATTAAATCGACTTAATACGACCTTTTTCCAAAGTTTTCATATCAAAGTAGTTATACGATAAGCCGGTAATTCAAGTTTACAAATCTATAAATATTCCTATTCAAGTTAATATATCTATTCGTTTGGTAGCAATGTTTGGTAGCAATCTTTTCACATTTTATATCTACTTTCTGACAAGTATCTATATTAAAATTCACGGTAATATTCATTATTGTTCCTCCTAAGAGTTTATTTTGAATAAATATATAAATTTGTAACAAAATACTGCTGTGCTTCTTAAACCAATTTTTTTAAATCTATTTTAGTACGGGAATTTGCATTACCACTCCTGTTTCTCTTCGACCCATTATGCAGTGTCGCCACATGTTTTTATATAAATAATATAAATAACGTCCTAAGTAATAAATATTTCATAATTTTGAGTCTAGAATCGATTGAACAACATTTGACGAATGTAATCGTTAAGTTTTCGATTAAAAATATTGATTATTAAGAAAGTTATTGTGCAAAATATAAATGGGAACCTCCTTCTCACTTCCTCCTTCATTAACCGATTTTTTTATTTCGGTTATCCGGGTGATGTGTGTATTCGTGTGTATCCAAAAATTTGAATATCGGATATTTGAATATGGAAATCAGCAGGTTCACACAAACACAATATCAGGACAAACACGATTCTCCGTCACGGAGCGAACGTACGCGTGGCCGACGGAATTAAGGATCGCGAATGGCCGCGTAGCTAGAGAGGAAGGTTTGCACAAGCGGGAATGGCTCATTTCGCCCCATCATTCGCCGACACTCGATCGAGTTCGACATTGCGACAGGAGAGACAGATAGTCCATGGCCGTATTGTCCCGCGAACTGCTGTTGCTTGCTTTCACTTCCTCGCGCGCGCATAACACGCTCCGCCACGAGTCATACAAAAGGCCCTGCGAACCGGTTCTCCCGTGGCAATGTGAATCGCCAAGAGATGGATCGTATCTTTCTCCATCGAAGTTTAACCATTGAGTCGACGGCGACGGCTAATAATAATCGCGCGCTCTCATTGCGCGCCCCGAGGCGATGCCCCATTTCGATTCCGCGGCATTTTTCCGCGAGATAACGCGCCGACGCCAAGTACAGTCTCGCTGATCCAAGGACAATGCACGTTAGAAGAAATCGGGCCGCACGGTGACACGTTCGCGGGACACGCACGGTCGCGCGCCCGCGAAGATCGATCTGTTCACGAGCGAACGCTCGATGAAAGTTCGTTTCGAGCGACCGAGGGAAAAGAACGGTAATTAACACGTTGAACGCCGCGCGCTGGTCACCGGTAGCGGGCACTGCGATGTTACCGAGTCTCATTAAGTTACGTACGCGATATAATTAAGCGCGAAAAGATTGGTCTGCACGGTCAATGCAGAGCCCGGGAAAAGATACGTGCATTTTTCCTTTTTACTTCGGTAACTCGATTACACTTGCCTGCGAATTGAAACCTTGGGACCGTTGCTCGAAACTCAGTAAAGTGATTAGGTAGAGCCGACGCGCCGAATCCGAAATCAAATCCGTTTCTTGCTATCGCGTGAGGAATTTTAAATCGCAATAACCATATTACACAATTATAAATAGAATGTATGAATGTTTCTTTTACATTAGAAATATGAATATTTTGAACATACTATTTTTTAATCCAAACCTTAAAGAATATAACATTAAATGAAATAAAATGTTAAAGTAAAAGTAGGTGATACAATGCATATAGTTCTTAAATTGATATAGTTCATAAATCACTAATTCTAGTTTAATTTGATACATGAATATTCTGATAAACCGGTAAACGCCGTCAATAACTAATACTTATGTTCCAAAAGAAACATTTTTCAACACCTTTTGTATTGTTTCTTTCACAATAAGTACACAGAAAAAATTAGTCTTAAATTAGGAATAGATATTCTCATATATAAGCAAGAATATTATAACTTTTTTAGAAGATTTTTAGTCTTGAATCAATATAAATTCAATCAAATCAAAATCGAAAGTTTCCTAAGAAGATTACGATATTTTTGCATGAAAATATCTATTCTTGATTTAAGACTAATTTTTCTTTCGTATATATAAACAAAACGCTTTAACCTGCCCCGATCTTCCCTGCATTATTCAACATAAAAAAATCGGGACATAATAGAAATTTTCTGACCTGGATTTTCGATTTAACGCGATGTCAACGTCCTAGAAACATTAAAACGCCCGACGCAATAAATTCATCGCCGACTGGTGTTATCAATCAGGCTCTTGTACAATCAATGGAAATCGGCCCGGCGGTCAACACATTAAGTGTTTACGATTGTCGACGTCTTCTTCCTCGAGGGAGGCAGGACGTGAGTGAACAATCACTCATTCTGCTACATATCTAACATCGAGTTTCGTAAGTTTCCGACGCGATTACGTACGCCCGCTGCCGCCACGATAGAGAGAGAAAGAAAGAGAGAAAGAGAGAGAGAGAGAGAGAGAGAGAAAGATAATTACGATTCGCACTCTTGTCCCAGTTAGACGCTTGACCTTCTAATGCGCTGGGTCTCCTCCTCGTTTCGTCCGCGAGTCAAGGAAAATTTACATTCACGTGCCTCTCGGATAATTCCGACGTCTCGCTGAAGTTCCCGCTGAATTCCTCTTCTCGAGAGAGAGAGAGAGAGAGAGGATCGATTCGATAGAACCAGTTCTGACGATAACAGATGAATAGTATGTACCTTGCTTCCCTTTGCAACAGGATTCTCGAACGGCGAACGTTTGCAAGGCCGCTCGTATTTGCATACGCGATAAAAAGATGTA